CAGTCCCTGTGTCCCTGCTTGTTATAGGCTAGGGGCTCATTCACAGGAGAGCCTCAGTATGACTAAGCTGTTGCCGTCTCTGAGGTCAGCAGAGGCAGACACCCCGGTTTATTCTGTCTGCATATATGAGCGCGGTCGCCCCCACTGAAAAGCTGCTGGCTGTTTTTCCTTGCGTTGCCTTCGCGACTGCGTCGTTGAGTGAGAGTAGGACAAACCCTTTTATCTTGTAATCACAGACTTTTCTTTTCCTTTTTTCTTGGCTCTTTCCCTACATACTTAGGACTCTGTAAAATAGAATCAGAATCCACCCTTTTTCTTTACAGCCTGAATATGTAGTAGTGTAGCAGAAACAACGCTGGAGCTGGATTTTGCCATATGCAAAAGGAGTGTGGTATGGTAGGCAAAGCATGCATTTAGGAATTAGGAGCTGCAATTTTTGTTCTGTCACTTTGGGCAAATTATTTAAATTCTTTGAGCCCCATTTCCCTCCTTATAAAGCGGGAGTACCTACTAACAGGGTGGTTGTGAGGGTTAAATAAATTAACCACAAAAAGGGCTGGGCCCATTGTGGGCACCCAATACAGGGAAGCTGAAACTCTGAGTTCATATAGAATCATTTTGCTTCAATGTTCTCCTCAGATGCTTGCCTTTTGACCATTCCATAGCTCATCCCTGTTGGTTGGTTTAGAGGAAAACGACTCCTAACCTCACCATATCTGTCTAATGCAATTGAATGCGTGCAGCTATGGCACATAATTTTAATTCGTAATAAATCTGCTGAAAATAGTTTAGGGTATAATCTGATTTTCTTGGTCAAGACTAACTGGGTTCAGAAACTCACCTGTAAACGGTTTCTGACAATAATCGGTAAATATCCTATTATAGTTTTTCTTTCTTGGGGGAAAAAATCCAACATCAAAATTTCCATGGACTGAAATGTGTTCATTTCAAGCACTTCCTATGCAGAATCCACCTTGGCATCTCTCCAAATAATCTAAAAACTGTTGCCAACTGCTGCAATCCTGAATTAATACTGCATGCAGCTCCCACTGCAAGTTAGCACAGGCTTCACACAAGCCTAGTAGATAAAAGGGGAACTCTTTGAAGACAACAGAGAAGTGAGCCACAGCCTGAACTTGACAGAACTATTTATTAAAATGGTGATTGAGGAGATTTTTCAAATGCCACTCTTAGCTGTAGATCTCACTTGAGAACGCTAGCCTTTTGCTTCGGGAACGAACATCCTTTAGGATCCCTGGCTTCTTCCTGTGGTTTGGTGTAATTATTAATAGCACCCGTTTCACTCTCATGAGTCCCTTTTCACTCTCATGAGTCCCTGTTTGCATGATAAATGTGATGGTCATTCCTTACAGGCCTTTTTCAGAGCAAAGCCCAGCTCTTTGAAGATACAGTCTTTGCTTTCATCTAAGAAAAATGACCTTAGTTTCCTACAACAGACTCTTTGGTGGCCTATCATATAGGCATTTAAGTATGTCTTCAGAGCAATAATTAAGAGCCACGTAAGCTAATGACTTACTCCCTATGGCTCTCTTATTGGTGAAAGCAAATAAGGTAAAGTCATAGGGACTCATCTAAGAGAGCAGCCCTGGGAAGGAAACATGACGGTTTCACGTTTATGTTTACAAAGCAATTTCCAATCATCTGTAAGTGCAAGAATACATACCCACATTGGACAGCAGGGAACGAAGACTTGGAGAGACCTGACTCTGTGCCTCTGGGATGCTGTGCCACGCTCGAAGTCTGAGCTCTTCATGGTCTTATAGACCTTTCACAGACCCGAGTCACCTGCACTCCTGTTCTTCAGGAGAGAGTGTGCTGTGGTTTAGCAGTCTGAGGGCAGCGAGGTTGTAAGACCTCATTGGAGATGCTCTGAGCGTTACTGTGGCAAACCCCAGCCGCATGGCAAACCCCCAGCCGCTCTCTCTGGAAGGAGTGCCGGCTTGTCAGGATAAAGCCAGGCGTCCTCCTGAGGAGCCCGAAGCTGATGGGTTCACAGACTGAGGCAGATGGGTTCTTGTGAAGCCTTATAATGCAGGGGGTGAGGGAGGAAGGAGGAAAGGTGGCCTGCCTGTTTGCTAAATGCCCTTCCGTCCAAACAGCTCCAGCCTGAACCTTGTTTATATTCTATCCCCAGCTGCCTCGCTTGCTATCTGTAGCCTAATTCTGAGAGAAGGAAAGATGGTCACAGCAAGGCAAAGGAGCACAGAAAGGTTTGCCCTCTGGGGGAAAAACGCGCTTGGAGAGCCCTTCTCTTGGGGGAAAGTGTGCAGCAGCTGAGGAGAGAACAGATCCATGGAACCAAAGTCACCTGCAGAGGACGATGGCATGATGTTTGCTTTGAAATGGCCCTTTCCCGGCCTTTCTCCCAAGTCTCTAAGGGGGGCAGATGGAGTTCAGGATAGAAACCTTCACCTCTTGGGTAATGGTGCCATGTGGGGTGATTAGAACCAGCTGGGGTGTCACTCCTTCGGGAGGGTGTCTAGGAGAGCCAGAATTCTGACATCCTAGTTGAAAGGGCTCCTCAGAGATCTTGAAACTCAAATCCCTCATTTTACCCAGAGGACTTTCTGGTTCAGAGACCTTGAGTGACCTTTACAAAGAGTTCCCTGAATAGCTAACCTGGGGTGCTCACCAAGCCACGGAAGTCTAAAAGGTTTTAAAAATACAAACTGAGAATAATTTCTTTCCACTGTGAAGAATTGTCATGAGACCTAAAAGAATGACTCTGGAAACAAATTGCACATACTTCCTGCCTGCCCAGGGAGCTTGCTCACTACTGTGGCCCCTGCTGTTCCCAGGGAAGCAGTGAGTTGAAACTTCAGGACCTGTTCCTTAATTTTGTATTCTTTTTTGAAAAAATTTAAATTTATTAATTTTAGAAAGGGGTGGGGAGAGAGAGAGAGAGAAAAAGAAAGAAAGAAAGAAAGAAAGAAAGAAAGAAAGAAAGAAAGAAAGAAAGAAAGAAAGAAAGAAGAAAGAGAAAGGAAGAAAGAAAGGAAGATCATCTTGTTGTCCCATTTATTTATGCATTCACTGGTTGATTCTTGTATGTGCCCTGACCGGGGATCAAACCCTCAACCTTGGCATATGGGGACAACGCTCTAACCATCTGAGCTACCCGGCCAGGGCAATTTTGTACTCTTTTGCTTAAAGAGTCCCCTACCCCCTAATTTTATAAACTACAGGTCCCAGAAAACCTGAATCTTGGCCTGTTTGCCCCACATAGTAAATAGAAACATCTGATGCTCCAACATTCTCCTGATCAGAAGAGGAGATCAGGTGAGACTGAGGATGACTCAGCCCAGGCCTGCTGGGCAAACAGGCTGGGGCCTGTGAAAAAGTTGGGTCAGGCATAAGATTGAGGGCTGGCTCACAGTATGTCTCAAACTTTCACCCCCTCCTTGTTTCTATCACTATTAGCTCCTTGCCCAGACCAGACTTGCCTCTCAGATCTACAAAACTAGGATTTTAGATCCAGCAAGTCTTATTTTGTCATCCCAAGCTCTGTAGGCTCTGAGAATGGCTTAGGCACCTCAGGTTTGTGAATTCCCTTCCCTGCAAAGCAGAGCCACAGTGTTGGCCAATACGTTAAGCAGGTGGAAAGAATCCTTGGCTCACTTGTTAGATATAATCTGCCTGATGCGTCCCTGTGTGGGTGGAAATGAAGGAGCGATGACTGTCTATCTCAATACTCAATAAACACAAAGTAGTGCAACTCTATACACCTTCACTCAGTGCCCATTATGAACAAAGCTTCTGAGCTACCCTCTGAGAGGACAGATGGTAAGATATAGTGCCTGTTCCACAGTGTTTATTTATATCAGAAAGCATGGCATAAAAAGCTTGTTCCACATTTGATATTAATAGCTACCATTTATTCAGCACCTACTATAGGCTCCACATTTTATTATATTTTCTCTAGTCTTCTCAACAACCCTCTAAGGCAGATATTAGCCTCATGTTGTTGACATGGAAACTGAGGCTCAGAGAGCTTATGTGATTTGTCCAGGTCAGGCATCTAGGGTAACCCTCTGCCCGGGGCAGCTGAACGTCAAAGGAAGACAGAAAGCAGGGGTGTGCCAAACCTTCCATTCTTGGTTTAACAGGGATTCACTGAGCTGGATTTAAGTGCCAGTTCTAACACTTGTGTGGCCTTGGAAAAGCTGCTCTCTGTTGGTTTCCTGTTCTATAGATTGAACAAAATTCTCCACTTCATAAGACAATTGCAAAGGTGAACTGAGATAATGTGGACATTGCTCATTTCTCCAGCACAGTCAGCCACAAAGTGACTCATTCTGGTAGAGCATGCTCATCCCCTGGATCCGCATGCCACTTCCTGACCAACTTCAGGTTTTTACTGAACTGTTACCTTTTCAGGGAGACCTTCCCTGGCCTCCCTGGCTAAAAGGCCAGCCCCATTCCAACTCTTCCTATCCCCCCTTCCCTACTCTATCACTAATATATTAAAAACTGTACTTATTTATCTTTGTCTTGTCTTTCTCCACCCACGAGAAGGCAAAGTTTTTGAGACCAGGAATCCTCATGTTATTTCTGTATCACCCCAAGCACAAATACATATTGATTAAAAGAATGAATGAAAACAAAACAAAAACCCCAAAACTTTTTGGCACCAAGAGACTTAGGTTTGAATTTGGCTTTTTTTTTTTTCTCTTCTCTCTCACTACCTGTTTATCCTAATTATTTTAAATGCCTTGGTTTCCTCCTTTGTAAAATGTGAAGAGTAATGGTTTCTATTTTTAAGCCTGCTGGGATGATTAAGTGACATATGTATAAAAACTGGCACATAGCCAGTGTTGGATAAATGTTTGCTTTTATCACTTAAAATAATCTGACCAGCTGTTTAACTTGCCTTTCAATGAAACACACATCTGTTAGGCTAGGAGAGGAGTAGACTAAAAACTGTGGATGTCCTCAGTGTTTCAACCCTTTTACCCTCCTGTTGGACTGTACACAGCTGAATGGGTGTGAAGTCGCTCAGCGTTCACAGTCCAAGGCTGCTGGTAGGTGCGGATCACCATTGCTTGCCATGTCCCTGCAGGAGGCTGGGGCAGCTCAAATGACTGGCCCAAGGTGACTGCCTCAAAATCCAGGGTGTGCAAGAGTCCTGCCTCTTGAAATCCTGCTACGCCCTGCCTCTCCTTCCATGTGCTCTCCATGGTGTCTTCAGCCGGCAACTTGTCACTATCCTCTCCTGCCATTCACATAACTTTTCGGACACTCCGTTTTCTGGCTCGAATACATGGAAAAGAAAACCCACCCCTCACAGCTTCATGGCCAGGATCACAGGCGCGGAAGAACCCTTTGGGCACCGTGAAGCGCTGTAGGCATTACCTCTGCAACAGGCGTTAACACTTAACCCCCAACTTTCTGTCCCAGGAGCGCCTGTGGTCTGCCCCACGCTCCAAGGCCGCAGGGCGCGCAGTGGAGAGGAAGACTAACCCCCGCGCCCCGCCTGGGCGTTTCTCCTGGAGGCGGGGAGGAGTCCC